TAAAAACATATGCACACGAAAGCCAGAGGATTGAACATATGTAAGAGATTCATTATTATGTGTTTTTAACTTGAATTTAAAAACTCATGGCTTGTTTTAGACAACACAAAATGAGTATTAGCAGAGTTGTTTTATGAAAAAACTGTAATTATATAAGCTATTATAGCAACAGTATTTAATTCTTCCTTGTTACGAATTTAGTGGATGACTCTGCTTCCTGCTGATAAGGTAGCACTTCCTTCCATCTGAGGACTAGGATTTTAGAGGAAAAGAAAATCAAACAGATTATCAGTCACCAGCAAGAGTTTTGTAAAGATTAAGTATGTAAAACTGAAAAACTGAAAATCATCTTATTCTCTTCAAAAACCTTTTATTCCAATTCAGCTGATAGCTAATGAGGTCCTGTTAGTTTTTTTTTTTTTTTTGGTCAGGTTTCCCTCCAAGTCAATAAAAAAGATTTCTGCCTTATTTTTTGCTTTTTCCAGTTGCTGTGGTGATTTTCTTGTTAGTTGATGAGAGGGCAGTAACAAAGCTATTATTGTATTTCCACTGCCCTGGGGCCCATATGAACATAGAGTGAAGAGAACTCAACTACAGATGGTGTTTGGTGTGTGTGTGTGTGTGTGTGTGTGTGTGTGTGTGTGTGTGTGTGTGTGTGTGTGTGTGTGTATGTGTGTGTGTGTGTGTGTGTATGTGTGTGTGTGTGTGTGTGTGTGTGTGTGTGTATGTGTGTGTGTGTGTGTGTGTGTGTGTGTGTGTGTATGAAAATTCAACTACTGTACATATATAGTTGTCTGGCACTGGACCCATGTCCCCAGCCTGGAACTTTTGCTGAATTGTTTTGACGTTAGAGTCTAATGGACTTTCCTTCCCCAGATGGCTTTGAACTGCCATCCTCCGGAGTTCAGCTTCCTATGTTGCTAGGATTACATGTGTAAGACACTGGCTCCAAGATTTTGGACTGTCTTTAAAGATAAACTTAGAACCCAAGTGCAGTATCACCACGACAAAACAAGACAGACAGAAATGTTTTAGTACAACCATTGTTGTTGTAGATCTACCCATATCTTACCTCTTCTGTCATTATTTGTGATGTTTTTAGGCAATAACTCCTTTGCTATCTCCAGATCTTTCCCTAATCTTGCCCCATGTCTTGTTCAAATATAATACACAGCACACATGTAGCGGAAATATAACTAATACATTTGCCTTAAAGTCCTTATTTTGATTGTTTCATTTAATTGATACAATGACTCCTGGAGGTAAGAATTAATACTGATAAAAATGAACTGGAGATTACCCAGGTTACAATACTTCTGTATATAGTATCCCAGCTTATACGGGAATCCGTATCATTTTACCCCATAACCTGTGTTGTACCTGGTATGCTAGAAGCTTCCTGAGAGTTTTTTTTCTATGTAACATACATTAAGTAATTTTGAAATCATGACACTGTTATGAAAACCTTCGTGCTAATTTGATATATACAGCTACTATGATTATTTCTTTTAAATTTGTGACTGCATTCATCATGCAATTATTCTCTCTTTGGTAGTGCTTTCATCCTCAGTCATTTTCTTTCTGTTGATGCCTGAAATGTTTCTAAATAACTTCCATCTACTTTAGATTCTCTATTTCCTCTACATTTGATTATTTATGCATCTGCTCGGGTACAGTGGTGACAGAGAGGATATCAGTAATCTACATATCACATCCTATATACCTGCTATGTTATCCTTTGTTACCTCCTGTGCTATATCCTGTTACATGAGAGGTTTTTTTCCTCCATTGGGAGACATTAAATCTACCTATTTCTGCAGTACTGCTTCGCTTATGACAAATGCTCTGTAAATGACATTAGATAATTAATTTACATTTCTCAAAATTTAGGACCACAGAAATGCAGTTACATGTCTATTGCCATTATCACCATTAACTTGATTTCCTAGCAGTTATAGTTTTAACCATAAATGCTAATAAAGTTCATATTATACTTTGAATCTAATAAAAATATTCAATTAAACTTGCTACCTTGAGACACATGAAACTTTACTCGTGCTGATAAGCGTGAGTTTGTCAATACAAATAGGGAAAGACAGTGTGGTCATGCAGAAGACAAAGAAGCTGTTCAAGTTTGAAATCTCTTTGAATTTTTCTTTTTCTCTTCATGCTCTCAGTGTGTGCGTGCGCGCACACATACACATACATGTACCAAAGCTATCGTTGAGAACAGAATATAACATACCTAAATACAAACATTAAATCTTTGGAGAAAGAATTTTTGTGTCTATGGAGCTATAGCTGTAATTTTTCAAAGCAGAATTCAATTCCAAAATTCTGATAGTATCCTTTCAGACTACATTGCTTAGCTTCATTAGATATTATTTACAAGAAAACCTAAAACAGCTGGAAAAGACCATGGAAAATGTTACAGAGTTTTTTTATGAGTCAACTATGATTTAAAAAAGGAAAGAAGTTGGCTGGTGAACTGAAGCAAAGTTAAGAATCCAGAGATGGAGAACCCTAAGCTAATATATTTTTTTAAATCTCTATTACCTTTCTTCCTTGGATTATTTGTGGATTTTTTTTAAGTTTGTATTTATTTATTTATTTTTTGGTTGGTCATGGGGCCTGAACTTTGAGCCTGGCAGCTGTCCCTCAGCTCTTCAGCTTAAGGCAAGCGCACTACCACTTGAGCCACAGCACCATGAACAGCTTTTTCTGCTTGTGTGGTGCTGAGGAATCAAACCCAGGACATGAGTACATACAAAGCAAGCACTGTACCACTGAGCCACCTTCCCAGCCCAGTTTGTATTTTCTTTAAGTAGTTCTACATAGGAGTTGCCATTCAACAGAGCCCTTTATCAATACAGGGCCTCTTGGTCATTGTCAACTCTTTTAAGGATTATTTAACCAAGGAACCCACGAGCTGAAAATGTAAATAGAATGACTTTACTTCCTCATAAGTGTAATTTAGGAAAAGGTGCCCATCCTAACACATGTATTGGCCATTGTGTTACCCAAGTTAAGGACAGATTCTTTCTGGAATATACTGTAAGTGGCACCCCTTCAAGTGGGCCATTGGTACTGAAGAGCTTCATAGCCTGCAGTGTTTTGGGCTTCAGGACAACTATTTTCTAATCTTTTATGGCCTTTGTTTTTGAACATTCTCACAGACTGGAAACAATGTTAACACATTCAGTTTTAAGTAGCAGGCTTTTGCAGAGATTTAGGCCAGTAATGAGAGAAGTGATGTAGTAGAACCAATGGCATAAACTGGCTGCCGTGAACAGCAAATTTAAAGACTGGAAAACTAAGGTTTATAAGCAGAAACACAAGACAAGCAACTCAAGAAGAACACAGCACTTTGAACTAGAATTAGGCTTCTTTGTGAAATCATGCTTCTTTTTAGAGCTTTCTTTGGCTTTTGTTTTTTAGCTAAGTGAGAATTTTATATGAAAAAAGATTTTTTAACTTTTAACTAAAATATTTTTTTGTTTCTATGAATTTGGTGTACAGAGGGGTTATAGTTACATAAGTCAGATAAAGAGTACATTTCTTTTTGGACAATTTCACCTCTTCCCTTATTCCCAGTACACTATCTCACTTTACAGATGGAATTTGCAGATCTTTAAATTGCTTACCAATATCTAATCCAAATGCTAAGATGTTTTTTCCATTGTTATACCCTATTGTATAGGGTATAAGAATAAGCCACAAGTCTGAATATCTTCATTAAAAAAGAAATTCGTTTTTTATCCATTATTTTTTTAATCTCTAATTGGTTCATGTCAAGGCCTCATTGCTCTCTGTGGCATGGTATTTCAACCTTTACAAACACTTGCTTCTGTTTCTTTCCTCAGTTAGAACATCTGTTGCTTTCGGGTTTCATTTTAGATACAAATTTATGGAATCAGTACCTATATGATGAATAAAAATACTAAACGTTTCATTGTGGTGAGAATTAGGACAAATAATGTAATCAATGTTTCTTAAAAATGAACATTAAATTATGATTGATTTTTCTCTATATATGGTTTCTGTCAATATATAGTTTTCCTTTTCTTTTTCTTTCTTGTTTTTATTTTTTGTGCTGGTCTTGGGGTTTGAATTCAAGGCCTGGACACTGTCCATGATTTTTTGTGCTCAAGGCTAGTGATCTACTTCTGGCTTAAAAAAGTGGGGGGGCAATTAATTGGAGATAAGCCTCTCAAGGACTTTCCTGTCTGGGTTGGCTTTGAACTACGATCTTCAGATGCCAACCTCCTGACTAGCTAGGATTATAGCCACTGGTGCCTGGCTTTATTTATTTATTTAATTTATTTATTTTGGGTCTGGTCCTGGGGCCTGAACTCTGGGCCTGGGCACTGTCCCTCAGCTCTTCAGCTCAAGGCTAGCGCTCTACCACTTGAGCCACAGTGCCACTTCCGGCTTTTTTCTTTTTGCTTATGTGGTGCTGAGGAATCGAACCCAGGGCCTCAGGTATGCAAGGCAAGCACTCTACCACTGAGCCACCTTCCCAGCCCCTATTTATTTATTTATTTATTTATTTTGGGTCCGGTCGTGGGGCCTGAACTCTGGGCCTGGGCTCTGTCCCTCAGCTCTTAAGCTCAAGGGTAGCACTCTACCACTTGAGCCACAGCGCCACTTCCGGCTCTTTTCTTTTGTGGTGCTGAGGAATCGAACCCAGGGCCTCAGGCATGCAAGGCAAGCACTCTACCACTGAGCCACCTTCCCAATCCATATTTATTTATTTTTATGCTAGGGATTGAACCTAGGATTTGTGCAAGCTTTCTCTCTCTCTCTCTCTCTCTCTCTCTCTCTATCCTTTTGTCATTGTTTTATTCTTATATTTTATAACTGCACTATGAAAGTTCATTATGACTTCTCTCCTAAATCAGCATCGTGTATTTTCAGTTACCTCTTGTGGGTTGAGTTTTGGAATTTGTTCCAGGTGCTGCCTCACACTGGGAACTGACTAAGCTTTGCTGTTTTACCAGGTTGTGGTGGGGAGTTGTCGGGAGCCTCAGGTACCTTCAGCAGCCCCGGGTACCCTCAGAATTATCCACACAACAAGGAATGCCTCTGGTACCTCACCACCGAACCAGGGAGTAGCATCCAGCTCACCATTCATGACATCGATATGGAATTTTACAGAGATTGCCTATATGATGCCTTGGAGGTAAGAAGCAAGGCTGTTGTTCAGTACTCTATGACATTTGGGGTAAAACTGAAAACCACTCAGTCTGCAGCCCTGTTCTGTGCTTAGACATCCAAATGAATATCAGCCCTTCATGAGAAATGTTAACAGATGTTTGGGACTGATAGTTGAGATTGGCTTTCTCTCCAACAGGGCCAGAAGGCCTTGGCTGTAGGCAGTTCAGTTAGGAGGTGAGGGGAGCAGGCAGGCATAGGGAGCTGGGGGAGGGAGCATGAGGCAGGGAGAGAGGGTGCCACTCTGGGCAGACAGACTTAGTCTTCTGTGAGACTCAGGATCTTCCTCGGAAGGAATGGAAGAAGCTTCAGGCCCTAATTCTGGTCCCAAATGGTGAGTACTTTGCTGGGGAGCATTAGCACCCAGTGCTTCCAGTTGGAGAAAACCCTTGAGAAAACATTGGGAGGGACCATGTACAGAGAGATGCTGCCTGCAAACACTACAGATGGCTTGTTTGTTTGTTTGTTTGTTTTGGAGCTGCTGTGGATAGAACTTCAGTCTTATAGAGGCTGGTAGATGCACAGCTGGCCAAGAGCTCTACCATTGGGTTATGCACCAACTCTTTTTTTTATTATTGGTTTCTTTTGAGACAGAGTCTCATTATTTTGTACTGCACTGTTCTGAAACTTGAAATCTTCCTACCTCAGCTTCCTGAATAGCTGGGCTTACAGCTTAATGATTTTCTTTTTCTTTTTTTCTTTTTTCTTTTTTTGCCAGTCATGGGGCTTGAACTCTGGGCCTGGGCACTGTCCCTCAGCTCTTCAGCTCAAGGCAAGCACTCTATCACTTGAACCACAGCGCCACTTCTGGATTTTTCTGCTTATGTGGTGCTGAGGAATTGAATCCAGGGCCTCATGCATGCAAGGCAAGCACTCTACCACTGAGCCACTTTCCCAGCCCAGCTTAATGCTTTTCCGTAGTCACTTAGTGTGCTGAATTTTAAAGATGAGAACTTTTCCAATTCTACTGATAAGAAGGCACCTTAGTAAAATCCTTGAGAACTTTAGAAACATTTATTAATCTCCACTTTTTTTTTTTTTGAAAGGTAGTATTAACTTCCCATTCTTTATTTTAGTAGATTGCTAGTTTACTGAGTTAATAATATTTAATGTTTAACTTTTACTTCTTATTTATGTATTCTTTTTTTTTTTTTTTTTTTAATTTTATTTTATTTTACTTGAGAACATACTGTACAGAGGGGTTACAATTACATGGACAGGATAATGCATACATTTCTTACCAAGCATTGCAGCCTCCTCCTTTGTTTACCCTTCACCTCCCTTCCCAGCCTCCCCCCTCCCTCCCACCCAATCATACCCCCCCCCCCCCCCACCGACATTGTAAAGCTGGTTTTGACATGACATTTTGTACTTCTCATTGTTGCAACAGGTCCACCTGAATCCTTAAACGACTTGTTTGTCCCCATCTCCTCCACATGTTATACTGACATCAAATATAGTGAAAGCGGGGGTTACACTGTGGGGGAGGGACATACAAAGCAACAAAGAAATAATCTTATAAATGCGTTAGAAACACATGCATGAAAGAAACAAAAACATTAAAATACATATTTGAGGTTTCGTTTTCCTAACATCACATTATCTGACTTTTTCTGCTTGACTCATACCTATACTAGATATTGCAAATAAGGGAAACCATGGGCCCTATGTTTCTTTGGGCCTGGCTTACTTCACTTAATATAATTTTTTCCAAGCCTTTCCATTTCCTAACAAATGGGGAAATGTCATTCTTTCTGATGGAGGCATAGAATTCCATTGTGTATATATACCACATCTTCTTGATCCATTCATCTACTGAGGGGCATCTGGGTTGGTTCCATGTCTTAGCTATGGTAAATAATGCTGCAATAAACATAGTTGTGCTGGTAGCTTTAGTGTGGCCTTGTTTGTGATCATTTGGGTAAATGTCCAAAAGTAATCTCCACTTTTTTTATTGCAAGACTCTAGTTATTAGCCTATGTGGATGTGTCTTCATTTGTATCTTCTGAACTTTGCAAAATTAATGACTTCTAATTCCACACAAAATCAACACATATTTTGAAAAGGATTTAACATTTATTCCAGAAAGCTGGGGGTGTTCTTTTGGTTCGTTTTGCCACTATATCCTAAGTACTTAGCAAAGTGCCAACATACAATGCCTTTTAGGAACTGAATGGAAGCATGCAAACCTCTGGCTGACAATAGGACATCATGCACATGACTAGTGGTTTCACAGTGGAATTTTTACAACCATACACTCATATGAATGTGAATAAGTAAGAGAAGGATTTTGTCCCTGTATTATAGTTTGGAGCCACACTCACATTCTTGGGCTTTTTTCCATGACCACGGGAGGGTGAGAAGTGAACCCAGTCGCAGCTCCATAAGCCAGTGTGAAACCATGTATGTGTGCAGATTGAAATGAGCAAGGAAGACTTTGTAGGAAACCGTGACACTTACAAACTTTCATTCCAAAACAACTGCTTACCCTGAGAGTAAATGGAGTTCTAAAACCATCTTTTCAGTGGGTGGATGAGGAGTCCCTAGCAATTACCTTCAGTACCTCAAGCCTGTGTAGAAAGGGAGAAAGCTACAGGAAATGAAATCCGAGACTGAGCTGGAAAAGCCCTGGGTTCCATCCTTATCTTCATGGTAGGACTGCTGCCAAGTCATGCTTCCATCTCCGAAGAGGAAGAGGGCATGGGAGAGAAGAAGGCACCTCCTGAAACGTACCTTCTCAGTGTGAAGTGGGACTAACTCTCACTCTGGGAATGCCCAAATGCTTTCTCTTGCCAGCATGGATATTACTTGGTTGCATAAAACCCCTTGACACTTACCCAGGGCTGGCAGCAGCTCTTCTCCAGTAGGGTGCGATGTTCCAGCTCTTCATTTTCATATTCCCAAGTGCCTGTGATTCGTGCCCAGTTGGCAAAATGTAAATGGGCTCATTGTGCTTTGGGTTTTATCACACTTATTACGGTAGAAAGCAGAGAGACAGAGCTTGTTCCTTGCAAACAGTTTTTAAAACTGAGAGACCGAAATCAGGGGTCCCAGGCAGCCACAAGCAGCCAGAGGGCTACCATGCCTGCTCAGAGATGTCTCTAAGAAGAGGCGGCAGGCAGTGCTGGAGGTCCGTTTGTATTAGAGCAAGCTGACATTAGAGCGGTTCCTTCATTCCATCACCAGTGGGGAGAGGCAGGGGAGAGGAGTCTTTGAGAATCTTAACTATTGAGGGAAGAATTTCTTTTTTTTCTTCTTCTTAAGCCTGAAAAGATCAACTGTTTGACTTTTTGCTTATCAACTTTAATTCACTTCTCAGACAATGCCCAGCTCAAAAGGAGAGAGCTCTGTTATCTGGTTGGGCTAAATGATGATAAAGTGATTTTTTCCCCCCATCCCTCTGTCCTTAGCCACTGATGATGTGTTGGCAGTAGGTTTAAAATCTGCTTCCCCCTGGTGGGTGTGCTGGGGTAACACCAGGGTAGGGAATAGCCGGCCCCTGGGCCATTTATAGTCCCAGAACCTTCTGGTACATGGGCAGGATAGACACATACTGTACTTCTTGCTTGCCATGGCCAGTTGGCCTTTTTTCTTTTTAAAATAATTTTGTATGGTATCATTCACATGGCCCTCGGCAGATAAAAGGTTCCCCAACCCTTGTAGAAACATGGCTGACTGGTATTTCTTGTTACATGAAATGTAGCTTTGTAGATTCTTACTATCATCAGCAATTGGACTTCCTGGGAACAACATAACTGAACCAGAAGCCATGTTTTTTTCCCTACCAAAAAAAAAAAAAATCAGTGTCCAGAAAGTGACCAGTTGCCTAAAGCCATGTGGTTAACTCATAACCCTGGAATGCTGACTTGATCCTGCCAATCAATGGAGCCAACAGAGCAGAAAGAAACGTTCAAAACAGATTAAAAGCATAGTCTTTGAAATGTTCTCCATGCCGAGCCATTTGCTAAAAGCTGCACTTTTATCTCTGATCATCAGGCCAGTTCTTCCTTAACCAGAGATGAGTCATAAACTGTGGTGGAATGAAACCACACCCTGAAATTCTTTCCATCTTTTTTTTTTTCTTTTTCAAACATATGTGTGATTGGCTTTATTGGTGGAAGCCAGAATCACCGTTCTTTTGTGTGGGCCATGGAAATACTGGGCTGATTTCACTTCAGTCTCCCCTGAGAGAGCCTGAAATTGGTATCAGGCAGGAAAGGAAGTGCCCACCCAGGTGCCATTAGCCAGGACAATTGCGTGGAGTGAGCAGCTGGGGACTGGTTGTTTGTGCACTGGGCCCAAAGGGAAGGGGAGCAGAAATGTCGCAAGTGGCAGTGTTTATTCTTCTGCAGGCTCCCAGGCCCAGGCAGCTCATACCCATTATGTTTGTGACCTCAACGGGATGCCTGAGCAGGGGAACAAAGAACATTTTGCCGACGTGTGGGTTTTCTTTGTTAGCTCTCGGTGCCTGGGCACAGTGTTCCCTCTCCAAGTGTGTGCTCCTTTCGGGGCTCTGGTGATTAGGAGCACATGTCCTTTGGCTGCAAGCTCTGGGGACTGAAAATGTGAAAAAGGGCTTCCCAAACAAGAAGCGATCTTGGTCCTTCCATTGCATAAGTGTACGTGTAAAAGGGCCACAGGAGCCCTTTCCTGAAGTCTGGCTTTTGATGGCTCCTTGGGGGGTAAGGGGTACACAAACATCAGCTCCTCCTAATGAAAATAAACCCGGAGCTCTGGGCCTGCTTCATTCCTTTGCAATTATAGTCCCTGTGCTAGGCCCTCTGAAACAGCACTTCCATTCATTTTGGCCTTCCCAGAAGGACTGTAGGGGAACTAATGAGACAAAGACATCATTATAGATTCAAGTCATATACTCCTCCCCTTTTAAAGGAAGCTTCTTGTTCTTAATCTCTCTGGAGAGAGAGCACTTGAGTAAATTCCCTCTCTGTCATTGAGGGCCTCTGGGTGGGCCAAGGAGCAGGGGGGTGGGAGGGGTAGGGGGGGCGGGCAGGGAGAGGGCGGGGTTGTTGAGGAATAGTAAGGCCATGAAGGGGCCCAGCTGGAGAGGCAGGGACGGAGTTGCTCGGCACAGATCCCACTGAGAGTTGCCTCCTGGGTTTGCACTGAGCCTCCATCTGTTGACCTGAATGGAGGGTGGTGGTGGCTAGGTGTGAAGGGCTCAGATACTAATAGGCTTCATCTACAAAGTCAAATGTAACAACACCCCAAGATCAGTGGGGAGATCGCTATATTCTGTTGGGTTCGGATCGTCCTGTCACCCCCATTCTTTGCACACACTGGAGAAGTAAGGGTGTCCAGGAGAGATTTGGACACTAGTGTTTTAAGGTCAAAGACACTTCTGCTTAAGGAATATATCATTAAGTTGTTGTCTCAAACTTAGTAAGTCATTAGATGCATTTCTAGAGGATATAGTTGCACTTCTGAAGAAGCAAAAAGCAGTAGATTTGGGGCCTAATCTTATGAAATAATCATTTACAGAGTAGATGCAAATTTATGACTATAACTAGAGAATTAATAGAACTCTGCTTTTAGAAACAGAATGGATTTTCTTTTCAGGCAGGTTCTTCCCATGTAGCCCAGGCTATTTTTGAACTCACAAACTTACAATCTTCCTACCTCAGGCTTCTGAGTGCTGAAATTACAGGTCAACACTTAAATTCAGTCTACCTCTACAATTATCTGCTGAACAAGCAGGTATTTCATGGGTGATTGAACTCAGCTCATGTTCATCATTTATAACCACATAGGAAAGCAATCTCTAACTGTCATAAATTCCAAGAGTTGGTTGTAAAAAGGAGGGGTTCAAATTGCTTAAATATATCTTTTGATTGATATTTGTTTGTGTTTTTTTTCTGTATCTAATCTTAGATCTATGGAGGTCCTGATTTCCACTCTCCCAGAATAGCCCAGTTGTGTGATCGGGGATCTAGGACTCCACTGCAGGTCACCAGCTCTGGCAATAAACTATCAGTCCTATTTAGGACAGACTACAGGGAAAATGGGAGAGGCTTCAATGCCTCATGGCAAGCAGTCCCAGGAGGTAAGTGAAAACAGGGGTATCCTCAAAGTACTTAGGCCAGGCCTTGGTTAGATTTCATGAAGTTATTGGGCAGAGGTATAAATTCTGATGACTTTGTGACTTCTCAAGTGGCTAATTCTGCTTTGATATATACTCTTGTTTTTTCATTTTTAAAAAGTGGTAGAGTAACTTCCAAAACAGATGAAAGTATGCTAGCCCATGGTGAGAGTAGAATCCAGGGTGATTTTGTATATTCCATTACTTGTTAAAGGCAGTCACCTATTCTCCAACCTCAGATTTAGGCCTCAATACATGGTAAATTACTTCATGTACTACCATAGGATCTTTGGATTGTTGACCAATGCCAAAATTGTAAACATTAGCCAGGCACCCGTGCCTCATGCCTTTCATCCTACCTACTTAGAAGGCTTAAATCTGAGCATCATGGTTCAAAGCTAGCCTGGGCAGAAAAGCCCCAATGAAACTCTTATCTCCAACCTCAATGTTCAGATCTCAGCCTCCTGAGTAGGTAGGATTACAGGTGTGAGCCACCAATACCTTTATTATAAAGGTCTTGTGCCAAGAGTTATAGTTACACAAATCAGGTAAAGAGTACATTTCTTTTTGAACAATGTCACCCATACACTCTCTCCCCATTCCTGCCCCACGATTCCCATTAAACATTTTTTTGCACGTGAGACTTATCTCATTTAATACTTATGATTAGTCTATGAGGGAAATTTGTTTTGTATGGTCATCTTACAAGCAAATGAATAGAAACTAAGAGAAGTCAGTGGCTTGTCCAAAGTTCCACAGCTTAGAAATACCAACTCAGAGATGTGACACCAGGCCACCCTCGGTCCCCACTTCTTCAACTCCAAGGTAACATGGTAGCTACTTGAGATCTCTTAACATTAGTTATATATGAATTTGCATATACATAATGTTTAGATTACCCCTCTACATTCTCTATAATTAGAAGATAGTTTTAAGTTTTCCTATTATTGGTTTATATTATGTTAAAACAAGGAGCAGTGGCTCAGAAAAAAGTCATTGCAGTAATGTGTTTGTCTATATTTCATAAATTAAAATCAATCTAAGTAATTGTATCTAGAATGTTAAATTGATAAACATCAGAAATTGTTATTTATAAAATCATATATTCTAGTTTATCAAATATTATGATGGAGATGATTATTCTTCAGTATATTTTATAGAACAACAAAGAGACATTGTATGGCTTTGTGAAACCATAACTTCACTTTCACTCATTTTGGTCATTTCAATCATTTTGGTCATCAGTATTTAAAGTGTTGCAACCTTTTTCCTACTATCCTGTCTGCCTCCTTTTTTTCTGTAGAGGTAAGTGAATTAACATGGATATTAATTTCTTCATAGTTTTAGCATAGACCACTATAATAGACTCGTTTTGACATTTGTCTCTGTGTAACGGCATAGTTTACCTATCAGTGAGTCTTGCCATAGCTGAACTGACTTTTCCACTTGCAGGTTGTGGTGGCATTTTCCAGGCACCCAATGGAGAGATCCATTCTCCAAATTACCCCAATTACTACAGAAGTAACACCGACTGTTCTTGGGTTATTCAAGTTGAACAGCATCATCGTGTTCTCTTGAACTTCACTGACATTGACCTTGAACCTCCAGACTCTTGTATTATGGTAAGTGACACAAATTTCAGACATTGTCACCAGTCAAACCCGAGTCAACACATATGAGCCCATCTTGTCAGTACTTGTTATGTGTGTTTTCAACCCCAAAGTACAGGAAAGGCAACTCCTAGCAACATTATTTTGCACTTTGCCTAGAAACAAACCAGGAGGTAGATAATATCATAGTTTGTTTAGCAACTCAGTTTTGCCTCTACCATTATTAGCTTTCATTATGTTTATTTCATTGTGAAAAATAACCATAACAGTTTTGTGTTTTTGAACACCGTATCTGAATCTGTATCTGAAGAAAGAAGCAAGGAACAGCATCAGTTATTTCTCTGTGTGTGTGTGTGTGTGTGTGTGTGTGTGTGTGTGTGCGTGTGTGCGTGCACGCTTAATCAGAGTAGGTTGGGAAACAGGTGTGGAGAAGGGATATAAATGACTGTTAGATGACAAAGAGATTCTGCTATTACCAATAAGCTTAATGTATTAATAGCTGAAAACATATGCTTTGTGCTTCATGTAAAAGAATTGAATGAGGTTTTTTTCTTTTTCAATTGAATTTTTTTGCTTGTTGAAATACATTTGTTTTTGTAGGCGTTTCATTCAAATAGAAACAAGATTCTCTGGGTTAATGGATCTTTCTATTTTAGCACCCTGACTGTTTCTTTTTTTTTTTTGGGTCCGGTCGTGGGGCCTGAATTCTGGGCCTGGGCGCTAGCACTCTACCACTTGAGCCACACCGCCACTTCCGGCTTTTTTCTTTTTGCTTATGTGGTGCTGAGGAATCGAACCCAGGGCCTCATGCATGCAAGGCAAGCGCTCTACCACTGAGCCACCTTCCCAGCCACCCTGAACTTCAATTGGCTAGTTTTTTTTAAATTGAACTCAAGAATACTAAAGAGGTTTGTTTTTTTCTCAATCTTTTCCTGACTAATGGTATATGTGTCAAGTATCATTTTTATAAGATTGGATCATTAATAAATGATTGGTTGACTTTTTATGATGCATTCACCTTCCACATGAGCCTTTAGTGTCTGAGGTAGCAAAGCACTGACTCAGGTGTAGAACAACTACTTCTCCTAATGTGGAATTGGATCCACTGTCCTGGGAATCTGGATCAGCAGGGTGCTGGTGGCTCACACCTTTAATCCTAGCTACTCAGGCTAGAGGTTGAGATCTGAGGATGGAGGCTCAAAGGCAGCCTGAGCAGGCAAGTTTACAAGACCATTATCTCCTGTTAACCACCAGAAAACAGGAAGTTGAGCTGTGGTTCACTGTGGCAGAGCGCTAATCTTGAGCAGAAGGAGCTCAGGGTTAGGGCCCAAGACCTGAGTTTAAGCTCTATCACTAACGAAAAAAATCTTGATGATATTTAAATCATTAAATTTCAAAATGTGGCAAAGAATTCACAAAGATAGTATGAAACTTCTCCGTTGATAACTGAGAGAGATGTGAACACTGTTTTGATACATGGAATATCTACTAATCCAGATCACAGAGGATCTGAGAGCCTTTCAGGAACATGAGGACAAAACCATGAGTCCAGACCTAACTAGGTTAAATCATATATACAGAGTAAGGAGAGGGGCTGGGAAGGTGACTCAGTAGTAGAGCGCTTGCCTTGCATGCATGAGGCCCTGGGTTCGATTCCTCAGCACCACATAAGCAGAAAAAAACAAGCCGGAAGTGGTACTGTGGCTCAAGTGGTAGAGCGCTAGCCTTGAGCTGAAGAGCTGAGGGACAGCGCCCAGGCCCAGAGTTCAGGCCCCACGACCAGGCCCCCCCCCAAAAAAAAAAAAAAAAAAAGAGTAAGGAGATGGGCACCAGTGACTCATGCCTTCAATCCTAGCTACTCAGGAGGCTGAGATCTGAGGATCACACTTTGAAGCCAGCCAGGGCAGGAAAGTCCATGAGACTCTTGTCTTCTATAAACTACTTAGAAAAAGCCAGAAGTGGTGCTGTGGCTCAGATGGAAAAGCGCTAGTTTTGGGCACAAAGGGGCTTAGTACAGCACCCAGTCCCTGAGTTCAAGCCCCAAGTCTGGCAAAGAAACCAAAAAACAAGACAAAGCAAGAAACCAGCCTTCATGGAGAATGCATCCCTGCTCCAAGTCATCTAAGTGGCTCCTACAAATCTCAAGCCATATGTAATAGGACAGTTGTCGAAACCTTTGTGTTTTGAGGAGACATATTGTCTACTGATGCTCAGCAGGCAGTGGGCATTTCTCACAAAGTGGCCCCTCCTCTTGTTTTCCTGTGAAGGACTATAGCTGTACAGCTTCTTTTCTTTGGTAAAATCTACATTACAGAGCATCTGACCAAGTCAAAGCCTCAATCAAAAGCCTGGCTTTTGTTTCCCCCCTCTTCTTTGGTCATGAGAATGATTTCCCATGTGCCCAGGATACAAATACACTAAGAAATCCACTGCCACATCTCAGCATGCAGCAGGGGTTGGCTTTAACAAACTGCAGCAGGAGAAAACAAACAAAAGGAAGTGAATCTTCAAATAGGTCTCGGTCAGGCCAGGGTGCTGGGAAAGTAAACCTATACATAGGTCCAACCATAATCATGCTGCTATGAATGATGATGTGAGCAGTGGAAAGAGAAAGTGTGGAATACTATAAGTAATGGGCTTAGGAACCAGAGGGAGGGCCTTCTGAGCCATAATTCTGCCCTCAAGCTCTTCAGTAGCAGAACCTCCTTTGCATCTTTCTAATGGTATCTCCCTAGGACTTGGTGGATTCCATGAGTATTCTATTTAGGATTACTATGACAGTACAGCATCATAATAATCATGAGGAAATAGCAAGAATGATTCATGTGGGCCCAGGAGCCAGGAAAACTTTTCCCACTGCAAGTGATACGTAAGTGACCAGGATGGGAATTTGCAGGGCAGAACATAGAAAATGACTTTTTGGAATAGGGAAGGCCAGCGTTGTGCCTGACACATACAGGCAGTGGCGGTAGGGGGGCATGGAGGCCACAAGAGACAGATGGCTTTCAATCTGGACAAACTCTTTTATGTTCTGGTGAAAACTTCGATATTGTCTTTATTGGAAACTTACAGTCCATGAAAATGTTCTACAAGGCAGAGCTATTCAGAACTGCATTTTACCAAGATTCAGGCAACAGTGTATGGAATGGCTTGGCAGAGAAAGAGGCAGGCAAAAGGCTAGAAACTAAGGGGAGAAGACCTGGATCCGATGAAGGTCTTACACAGGGTGTGGGAATGGAAAGAAAGTATATTCTCCAACCAAACTGTTACAGTGGTAGAGTCACTAGGACTCCGAGTCTAATTCCATTGTGAAGGTCATGTGAACCACAGAGGGGAGTGATGACTATTTGCCTGGGGGAAAAAAAAAGATGAATAATGACGGCCTTCGCAGAATAAAGAGGTAACGTGTGATTGGAAACTTTTGAGTTTAAAAGTCTGTCCAATGGACCTTCAAGAGTTTAGAGTATGAGTTTAGGGTTTGGGATGGAGTATGAGTATGGGAGGGTAATTTTTGCATATGTAGGTGGTTGTTAATATTATGGGAGTGTATATGGTCACATATAGGAGAATTTCATAGAGTAAGAAGAGCCTTGTACACTCTTGGGGTAGTTGTACCATGTATAGAGCAAAGGAGGGATTAAAGGAAAAGGGAACCGGAAAAGTCCCCTGGGGAGTAGGTGGTGAACCAATGAGAGTGGTCCAACAAAAACTGAGGATGAAGACAGTTGTGGAGAGTGGGTGATGAGAGATGCTACACCCACCAGTGGTCACCTAGGGTGGAACCAAAGCCACTGGATCTGATAATCCTGTAAGGAACAGGCCTGCTGTGGGTAGTGGTGGAAGACTGTAGGTAACAGTGAGTTGAGAGATACAAGACTGCTTGAGAAGGGCTGGGAAGATGGCTCAGTGGTAGAGCACTTGCTTGCATGCCTGAGGCCCTGGGTTCGATTCCTCAGCACCACATAAGAAAAAAGAAAAAAGCCGGAAGTGGTGGAGTGCTAGCCTTGAGCTGAAGAGCTGAGGGACAGCGCCCAGGCCCAGAGTTCAGACCCCACAACCAGACCCCCTGCCCCCCCCTCCCCCCAAAAAAAAGACTGCTTGAGATTTTCCCCAGAATTATGGAAAGGAAGGGCAAAGCAAAGTGAAAAGCAGTGACCTATGGGAAATCCATTGGGAAATTATTTTTGAAAATAATGGAGAAGCTTACATCATGAATGAAGTACTGTGGGAAAAGAGCAACCAGATGAAAGAAAGCAAACAGTTCTTGAAATTATTTTTCTCAGGGTAGAGACCTGAAGATAGGCTATATTGGCCCTAAATGTTTTCATATTTTTGGAATGAGAAACTAATTTTTTTCTGACTTCCAAATTTATATTTTTTCTGACTTACAAATTTTTTTCTTACATAAATTATTATTGAAAATTGCATAAATTGTACCGAGGCTAAGATGTCTTTCCTTACACTATTTATAAGTTACTCTTACAATAAGGAAGGAAGGTGAAAAGAAAATTCTACAAGTAAATTGGGATCAAGATCTTCTGTGTGTGCAGTCGCTATGAGCTTAATTATGGGGATAGGAGATCTGCAAAGCTTTGGCACCAGGCCAAGCAATGTCCTGGCAGGGTTAGAAGTTTGGCTCCAAATTATCATTAGTTTTCCAGGGATTCATGAAGGCCAATACTGAAGCCTTAGCCATCAATCTTTATGGCCAAATGGACACTGGATATGAAGTATAGCTAAAGTCCAATATCTTACATAATAATCTCTGAAGCTTAAGATCATACAAAGCCAATCATTCATTTTGGAGACATTCAATTTAACTTCTTGGTGTGGGTCTCAGATGGAGTCATTAGCAAAGAGAAAAACAACTAGCTGCCAATGCTGCTGTCAGATAGTTTGTTTTCAGGGACTTTTAATAGAGCCCAACTGAACCATTCAGTGCCAAGGTAAATAATGCCTAAATGGAAGCAACTTTTTTTTTTTAAGTCATGTAATAATTTAAGTTGTTAGAG